GGAGTCAATGGCAGCCGCGCCCGCGGGCGCCGTGTGTCCCGCCGCGTCCCGACGGAGGTGATTTCTCCGCGAGGGGGGTCGGTGCCGCCGCCGTTCCCCGCCGAGACCGCTGAGGGGGGCGCTCAGCGCAGCCTGGATCCGCTGTGAGGCCCCGGCCCAGTGACCCGCTCCCCCGGCTGGGAGTGGGAAATGATCCTCGTCACGCCGGGCTGCGCTGGGAATGGGGGAAACGCCTCGGAAGTGCCCGAGGTTATTGCGGAGGGCAATGTAAATAACGAGCGGGAATGCTTCGGCCGTTCTGATTTCTCTCATTTATAGCTTTTCTTTCTGGTATTCAGATATCAGAATTCTCGTTTGTATTATTTACTTCGGACAACGCCAACTGAGTGTTTATCTTTAATTCGGCACAGCCTTGTTGGAGCATGAATGGGAAGGGAATAGCTTTTAAAGATTTTCGTTGACTTGAAACATCATGTCTCTTTTTTTATGTTTAATGAATATTTTGTATTTAGTGTAAGTCACAACGAGCAATTAGAAACATTGTCGCGAAATCAGAGGCTTCTGCCGTCTTGAAGAGCATCATTATAAAGGGCAGTACAGAAGATGGGGTATTACAAAACAAGCGAGCTGTGAGCCCTGTCCCGGCACCGGTGGCTCGTGGCACTGCCTCGAGGGTTGCACTGCTGATTGAGAGCCGGGGGTCTGGACCGAGCTTTGGTGGCTCGAAAGTCCAAGAAGGTTGGAGCCAATGTGTGATCGTGTCAAGATAAGGTACGGTCACAGCATGAGTTGCTGTGAGGTTGTGACTTGGTCACATGCATGTTTGCTCCGGAGAACAGGAACTGTTTGGTAAGGATCAGAGGGTTGTGTCTGGGAAATCCAGAAGAGTTTTTGTGCTTGAATACTGAGGTGATGAGAAGATGGGGGTTACAAGTGGGGAAGAATGGAATACAAGTATGCAAGGCTGGATTGGACAGGGCTTGGAGCAGCCTGATCTGGTGGAAGGTATCCCTGCCCATGGCAGGGGGTTGGAACCGCAAGAGCTTTAAGGTCCTGTCCAGGCCATTTTATGAAGAAACTGCTTCTGCTGAATGTGTCAGGTGTGCTTGTGAGTCTCCCATGTACAGAGGATTTGGAAGCTCATTGCTTTAGCTTCTGCTTTGCCTTGTCTGTAGAAAGAGCAGTCTTCCAAATGATGGAAGCCTGGCAAACCAGGTTTAGCAGTAGCATATCGGTCTGTGGGAAAATGCAGAAAAGTGGTGTGAAGTCCTTTCTGCATTTAAAATTTTTCTTAATTAAATTTAAATCATGCTAATTTTAAATTAGCATGAAGGTTTTCTAGCACAATTTCCTTGGGCTAGGGGAACAGAGCTTACCAGATGTCCTGCGTGAACTGGTGTAGAATCCTGAAGCGTGATCAGTAGGATTTAACTGGACTATTTTACTGGATGGGGATTGTTGAGGGGGCTCAAGATGGGCAATGATTGTTCTAATTTCAATTATTTTTTTTGGATTTTGAGCCTTGTGTGGCACACAAAGCACTGTGTCTTAGGGCAGCAGCTTCATGTGCTTATATTTGCCTTGTATCAAGATGTTTGCAAAGGTAGAAGCTGGAAATGTTACACAATGGAAATTAAACAATATTCTACAATTAAAATTATACAACTGCTGCAAGCAGCATTATTGAAATCTGTAGCTATATTCCTAGTTACTCATTATGTATCTGAGGTTAAAAATTAATTGAAATAAATAAATGTATTTGATTTGGATTTTTCTAATTTCAAATCACCTTCAGAAACCCTCCAGTGCTCCCATTTGCAGCTCATATTTCACATAGGTCATATGCAGTCCTAAGTGTTTTTCGTTGGAAAGTGTAAAGTGTAGTGTTACCTTTAGATTTCAGAGGCTTTGTTATGTACAACATGTATTTTGGTTCCTTGAATATACACTAGAAAATATTTTTAAAGATACTTACGAGACTTCTTTTTTAAACATTTCTCTGTTTTATGCTCAAGGTAAGCATTACAACAAAGCAGTAATATATAGGTATTTCAGTGAGAAGCACAAAAATTATAATCATAGTATAGTTTAAGGACAAAAATAAAACCAAAAGAGAAATCAATTCAGCTTTAAATTTTTGTGGGTGTTGTTTTTTATGTGTAAGAAGAGACTAGAGGTTTTAATTTTTAATTACTTCCATTCTCACAAACGGTAGCTTAGTTTCTTCCTGGAAAATGGTGAAGCCAATTCAAATTGAGGGTGAAACCCTCAATTCTGTTCCCACAGGCAGTGCTAACACCATAACCCTCCCTAAACAGGGCTTATCTTACACT